TTTGAGATAGGAGACTTAAAGGTACAGTAGTGGCAGAGGAGAATGTAGCATCTGATGGTATCCTGTAGGATGGCTTTGGAAGTGATGCTACATAAAACAGCGCTCACTTCAAGAAAAATAAGTGATGATAGAGGCAAAAATTAAACAGTGTAAGTTGAAGAACATTGTCCATAGTTTTTGTGGAATGAGTAAGTACAGGAAAGTATTCAAAGGTTAAGGCGATTAGGGACATAAATAGACATGGGAAGAACAAGTGAAGAGCGTATGTTGACAAAATAGAAGGAGCACTTTGAGGAGCGGATGAATGAAGTAAATGAGAGGCAGAGAGATGGAGAATAGTTAGTGAAGAGGAAAGTTCAGAGAATTAATAAGGAGGAAATGAAGGCAGCTAAAAAAAAGTATGGAGATTGAAAAGCCGGTTGGTCCAGATGACTGGATGCCTGGAGAATGGAGAAGAAGTGTACTGGTACAAACTTTCAAGGACAAAGTGAAAAAAAGGTTAAAATGAAGATTAAACCAAGGTTAAAAGCAAAGGAGAGCAGCAGAGATGATTCATGTGGATTCATTCATGTGGAGAAAGAGCACCGCAGATACAGTATAATGCTTGCTTTGTGAGTGCTGGGGTTGCACTGTCTTTGTGGATCTAGAGAAAGCATATGATAGGGAGCCAAGAGAGGAACTACAAATGAGGAAGTAGTTGTAGCATATATTTGAGGCTGGTGATGGACATTTATGAGGACAGGAAGACAGACATGTAGTATGCAGCAGGTGAGAGAAAAAGGTTCAAGATGGGGATGGGATTACATCAGGGATCAGCTCTGAACCCCTTCTTGTTTGCAGTGGTGATGGACAGGTTGACAGACGAGGTCAGGCAGGAGTCTCCCAAGTGGCCACATGAGAAACTGGGACTGTTTTGGAGGCTCCCACCAATAAGTTTATAAAGAGATTAAATTAATATTGAGCAGAGCTGAGTTCATCTTATTGGGGTGGCCCTCCAGAGTCCTATTAGACAAAGTATAAAAGTTAAACTTTTATACTTTGTCTAACTTTACCTTCACACAACCAATATATAAATGCCATGAAATGTGGAGGGACCCATTCGGTAGTTCTGTCAACTGGACTCCTTCTGTCTTTCAGGTACTGGGGTACTGCATGTCTACTTTTTGGTACTTTTTCTTTTTTTGATAAATAGCAAGCGTATTATTCTGTCAGTATTGAGCAAAATCACTTCCAGCACTTTGTTGAAATAACATGTAAATAGATAGATAGTTACCCTGAGAAGGTATACCTAGTAAAGTATCTGGCGAGAGTATCCACGTGGGCACACCAACTAGTTAAAAATCAGTAGCCACTTTCAGTCTTACAATACTACTATTGTAGTCTGTCAAAAGAACATTTTACTATAAAACCTTTGAGAAATGTCTGTTTTCTGTTTCTGTAATGACTGATGTAATGTCTTTTTATCTTTATGTCGTGCTTTTAAATACAGTGAGCACCCTAAAAAAATGCAAAACTGACATATAACCAGGCTCAAGTGGGTATACATTCTCTGCTTATCTCCTCTCCATCTGTCTGTGCTGTCTGTGTAGGGGCTCAGGTTTCTCATTTCCCTGCCTCTGAGCCCCCCACAGCTCCATGCACAAGGCCGAACGTGCCCCAGTCACACGCCCTCCTCTTTCTCTGCTGCTGGGAGCCACAGCGACACACGGCTTCCCACACTTCTGTATGCAGCCTGCTCAGCAGCACACACAATAGAAGTGTGTCTGCTCTAACAAAGCCTCGGGACCGTTCTCAGGCAGGGAAAGCACAGAGGCCCACTTCACAACCATCTGGTTTTGCTATAACTGGCTGCTGAGAAAAAGAGACTGAGAAAATATTAAACATTAAAAATATTAATAATGCTTTTACCCCATTTTGAAAGTTATTTAATATTATTCATTTGAGTTGTCTTATTTATCATTAGAAATAATTAAAGACAGAAACAGTGGTGCTATTTGAGAATAAAAAGCCACGTATTTAAAAAATGTTGTAGTGAGTATTTGCTGTTGCAGTTGAGATGTTAATAATATGTTAGTAATGAGTTTTATCATCCACACAGCACATTTTACAGTCTTTTTAGTGTCGATTAGATTTGTGTCGTTGAAGTGTCTGTCCTATGTCCCATCATGGTCCATGTGCATAGTCTAAGCTTCACAGAAGGAAACAAAATTTTCCCGTGTCCACTTCAGGAAGAGCATTTTCCCACTGATCTCTCTTATGTATGGCATACAGATAAAGCATCCCACCTGTTCTCTATGACAGCCATTAAATGTGCTCTATTGTCCTGAGCTCTGAGGCCCCTGATTGGCCAGAAAGCAGTGAAAGCGCAAGATGAGCAGCATAAATAAGGAGCAGGCACACAGAAGTAAACAGAGACGTCGTCTGAACCTTTGCAAGCAAGACCAGAACTTCCCACAAGAAAAAACAGACCTCGTCATGGCTCTCTACGCAGATCTCACTCTTCAAGACACCATGAAGGAGCAACTGTTTAGGTGAGCTGAAGTTCTGTTTCTCTATTCCTAGTACGAGCTGTTCACCAGAAATGTACTTTTCACCAAAAGGACAAATATGTTAACATTGTTGTGACTTTTCTTTCAGATGTAAACTTCACATGCTGGAGAAGAAATGCAGCACCGGAGTGGAGAAGCTGAAGGCTCTGATTGCAGAACATCTGCAGAATGGTCTCCCTCTCTCAGACTTACTGGAGAAAACAAAGTCATTGCTCACGTTAAGAAAAGCCCTGCTGACACACAACGGCTACTCCAAATATTCAAGGGACATTTTACGCCTGTTTCCCGATGCAGAGGATGACGTGGCTCCGCTGTGCTTTTAAGAACAAAACACGAACTACAAAAAGTCATCCAAACTGGATTCAAACCACCGCATTTTTAATGGCAGTGATTGCAAGCTGGATCTCTGTGTTAAAAATCTACTGACTGTTAAAAGATGCATTATTTGCATTACGACAAGGAGACTCTCAAGGGCACCTGCGGCACATTTCAACCATTTTACTGAGTATTTCTTTTTTTAAAAGGAAACATTTATTTTAGCTCATACGATATGATTTCAGTCGAGCTTTAACAGGAGCCTGTGAAAGATAACTGAATTCAGGGTCAAAAGTGGTTGTTGACTGTGCAGAAGATGTGTTTTGCTGCTATTTGTGGGATTTATGTTTCTTGTGGTTGTCAGATTTTTATGTGAAGGCCACAGAAGAAAAATCCAGCCTCGAAACTATGCAACAATTAGTTGTTGTTTGTGTAATTACTATTTTTTTTTCACCAGAATTTTAGCGGTATAATTTTTACATTTTATACCAACAGTAACACTGTGTGATTATATTTTTGCATATGTATTTTGCTGCCTTGTTTCAAGGTATATTTGATAAAACCCCTAATACAAACCTTTCTTTTGAAAGGAGATTCATCTCTGTTTATGCTGTGTATGCATATTTTGTTTATTCATCAGTTTCGTTTTTATTCATCCAAAGTGGATTTTAATTTGTTTTTATGTTGTTGTTCTTTTGCATATTTCAAGAAAATAAATATGTGAAGATCAAATTCTTGTCATGTGACTTTATTTGAATTAATTTGGGAGAATCAAACTATTTAAATATATTGTGTTGATTCAAGAAACTTTATTATAATTTTATTAAATGTATTATATTTTCACACTCCCTTGAGTGCAAATTTTAAACACCATGTTTCATGAGAAAGGCTTGATCAGTGTGAAAAGATGCTAATCGTAGACTATGATAATGTCTGAATTTGATGACATAGAGCAAGGGTTCCAATGACAGCCCTTGACAACCATTCGTGTGTGACTGACAGGCACATCCAGAAAGGAATGTAGTGCTATGCATTGCCTTTATCCACTTTATTTCATGCTATGATATAGCAGCTTGGAATGAGACAAAAAGAGATTTTCATTCATTTCTTCGATTTTAGCTCCTCTGTCCTGGTCATTATAGCAGACCTCACCTTCTTAGCACTGACAAATATTGTGGTTATCATGGGAAAAAAAAACACAAGCCAGCACAACAACTTGTGTGCAGTTTTCTTGTGCAATTCTCAGTAACATGCTGACTCCCTAAATAGACACTCAGTCATCAGAGCACTGGGAGCATCTGATCTACAGTATCATACTTCAACAGGAGGACAGGACTTTAACACTGCTGTTAAGCCATCATTCAAACACTAAATTTGCTTGTGAAAAAGTGCTGCTAATCCCATCAGCATATGCAGTAGCTATATGTCATGCTGTTTTATATAACACCACATTTTAGAATGATGAAATATGGTGTAAGCTATTAGCTCAAAAGAGAAGAGTTTTACCAGCATCTGTCTGTCTGTTCTACGCTCCGTCACATTTTTATGTGAACCTAACAAAAACAGTCATAGTCAAGTGAGAAATAAGCAGTTTTGCCAAAAGATGTTAAAACATTTTTCTCAGTAAACAGCAGGTAAAGTTACCCTGTTGTTTCAGATAACATTGCCTATTAAAAAACACGTTGCTAAACATGCAGAGCAGATTTTCAGTTTTATATAATTTCCATGATTAAATAATCAAAATAAGTCAAGCAAAATGTGTTGTTTTTTCTGATTGCTTTATTGCGCATCACTTGGCTTGAAGAGATACATCCATTTTGAGATGTTTTACAAATAACAGCGCCTTCATTGAAGGTATGTGTGCTGTCACTCACAGAGTCAATAAGCAACACGTTTGTCTTGAAGGTTATCTGCTAAAAATGCAGACAGTTAACACATTTAAAGACCAGAAAGGACATTTCAATCAGTAAAGTATGTGGATATCACATAAAATTTTACACATGTTCAACATGCATACATACATCACTGTCAGTGTAACCAACATTATATAGGAATTCAAACTGGGAATAATAACGTCTACTTCACAATGAATCGGAATGCGACTACTTTTGAAACACAAAATAACAGCCAACCCGTTGTCTGCAAATATTGCAGAAACACAGAATCTGACCTTTACAAAAGGCAATAATATAGATTAAAGGAAAATGCTGCACAGGCACCCTTCAAAATAAGACAATCCCAGAAACAAGTACAATTACAGGTACTTCTACGAAGATAGAGTTTTTACTTCCAAGCACACTTTTACACAAGTCCTTCCAAGGCTTCTACCAAGGTCTCCATAGAGCAGTGCTGACTGGACTTTTGTCTTTGATGATGCTCGTCTGGACTGTGGAGCTAGATAAGTTGGCCTCTCTCAGGTTCTTATTAGAAGAAGCATGCAGGTTGTTGACATGGTTCAGCAGTCTTCTCTGGGACTGAGTCTTCACCTCATCTTTGGACAGGAAATGGACCATTTCTTGGACACACCTGGAGTAGCCCTGATCGACTGTTGCAGAGTTCACAGCTTGACGCTGCTGCTGCAGTCGTCTCAGGAAGCAAACTGTCATCTCCAGGATGTCCGCCTTCTCCAATTTGGAGTCTGGCTGCTGTTTCAGGAACTCTGGACCCAGCAGAGACTTGAGCTGCTCAATGCTGGTGTTAATTCGCTCTCTGCGTAACTTCTCCACCAGAGGCTTTCTGAGCTGCAGAAAGAAGAACAATAATATTACTAAACTTGTTCAGTGGCACAGTTTTTAGCACAAAAAAAATCAGTTGGCTGTATGTGATATTAAAATATCTATGAGTCTCCAGTTTACCTTGTGGGTCAGAGTTGGATGCTCCTGAGAACCGGTCATTGTCGCAGTGACAGGTGCCATGGCTGGATCTCTGTGCTGTAGCGAGAATCTGATCTCTGCTGGCTTCATCCCTCCTATTTATACTCCCACATCTCCATATGAATGTGTGGGTCTTGGTCTGACTGGAGTTTCTCACAGTCTGAGCCAATCAGAGAGCTCAGCAAGACAATAAAGGATGCAAGACACTGAATGGTGTTATTGCCTTAAGGATAATGGTTAGATCTCAGGGGAACAGCTGGCGGGCTGGGGGGAGGTTGATGAAGAGAGACTCACACAGCTCTGTGTGGATCTGGGAAAGTGGTGACCCTGTAGAGAAAGCTGATCTGCTGCCTGATGCTGAGATCAATGACTTTGACTGAGCACACGCTCATCATAACAACAGAAAACATATCTGAAACAGTCATGAAAATATGTTAGGCTTAGACAACCACATATTTCTGCCTTATTTACAACAAACGTGTCACAATTAGGTGTCATTTTAACTTGACTAGAATGCATCAAAGTAATACTCTTGCTCTACAAGAGATATTTTTGTTGATACTGTTATCGCACAAAATAATATCGCAGATACAACAGAAACTTTCCTCAACACATCTCCCTATCAACAGCTGGATTAATGAGATTTTTAATAAAGTTAGATTATTGATACAACCTAAACTCATCAGACCACAACCAGCACACGATCAATTCATGAGTGAACACCCTTTATCCTATCAAAATCATTATCATCATCATCACCAAAAAAAAAAAAAACTTAAGGAAAAAGAAATTAAGAAAAAAAGCCTGGAATGCAGAGAGACAATCTGAGTTCGAAGAAGGAGAAAAGGAGCCTTTGAATTTTCATTAATCCAAAAATGTCTGCATTCCTTATAGCAGTTTTACAAAAGCCTGGTAATGACGAGTCTTGATGGCTGGAATTTCCATTCACAGGCAATGAGACAAAACTCGTAAACTGACTCCATAATTAATGTGATGTGCAACCAGACACACTTCTTTTGTTCTTGAAAGCAGTAAATGGGGAGAGTGTGGGAAACCAGAGAAAACCCACTCACAGAGCCCCTGAGGGACAATAGAGGCAGGCCAGACAAAGATGTCTGTGAAGGGGGAGGAATTCTTTACCACTGAATTTAAACTTTTTACATAATTTACTCACTCAAGATGAGAAAATGTTAATTTAGAGTTCTTAATAATTATATTTTTTGTACAGATATTAAATATATTCTTTGAAAACTTTTGTTATGATTTGTGGTTTTGTTTAAATAAAATCTAAATTATTTTTTTGAATAAATTTTATTTTTAAATACAATTTAAATTAAAGAAAAGTGCCAAATTATCACACTGTTTTTAAATTACATTTTTATTTGTAGTTCTACATTGTTACCAATGACCAATTTTAAACTCCCGACAGCTACATCATTATAACAATGTGTATTACCTGGATACATTTTCATGACAAAAGAAAAAGTAAGTAATATAGTAACAGCTATAATAATGTACAATTAAAAAAAATAAAATAAGACAAGGCATACTTTATCTAGTCCAAAAATAGCAGCCAATACATTAAATAGTTCAATAAAATACAATATGACAAATCAAAAAAGTTTAATAAAGTTAAAAAAGAGCCTAATTAACCTGAAAATAAAGTAGAATAAAATAAATGAAATTTTTTAAAGTAAAAATATAAAATAAAAAAAGGAGAATGTCATATTTATTACATATTTTTCTTAATAAATACTTATAATGTCCTTATATGTCTGTGCAGGTATAGAAAGTAAATGCACATACATAAAATTTAAATATAAAATACACATCCAAATATACTTTGTTGACTAACAGTTAGGCTACATCCCTAACCAAAATATTTGTGTTTATACTCACTCTCCTAGCTTAAGTACTGACAGTGTCTACACAACAAACTCTGCCCTCATGGGAGAGCCGGGAGCTGCTGGTGTGTAGATGAATTAGCATTTAACAAGGCACATGCCCATTGTTGAGTGAGAGCTCAGTCAATGAACAGAGTGTGGGAAAACTGTGAGAGAGCGAGTCACAGTTCAGTGTGATTAGCATCTTCAACCTCACCAGCACCTGACTATTCTCCAAAGGGGAATTGGCACACTTCAGAGGAAGATTTTCTTCACTGTTTATTCTCTTTTTCCTTGTATTTCTTTCTCTGCTGGTCTCTCTTTGGTGCCAATTCTGTAACTTTTGCCAGCTTCATTTCCACTCTGTGTCGTGGGTCATTATTTCAATCTAAACCTCTTTACTTTTTCCACTGATGGATGCCAAAATACCATGGCAATGTGGTCCTTTTTAAACAGGTTATAAAGGCTTTTTCCGCAAAGTACATTTTGACAAAGACTTTTTTTTAAATCAATGCCACAATATATAATTTGACTAACGATGGTGGGTAATAAATACAGAAAGGGACTCTAATAGCTAATATCTCAGGTGATATCTTATTTCCTGACTGAGAAAGTTAAACTAAACTTACATTATGTAAGTTTGGTTTAACTAATGCACTCTATTAAAACAAAAAAGGTAATAATCAAACTTCAGCATATGGCCTTGTGCTATGTCTCAGATTATTGCTTAATCTTAAAACACAAATCTACCTTTCAATCCTGCTATTTTATTTTAACATCATGGGATTTTTAATGTGAAAGGTGCATATGGCGTGCTCTCACATGTGTGATGGGATGATCAGCGTGTGCTCAGTCAAAGTTATTGATCAAAGCATCAGGGGGAAGATCTCCTCTCTACAGGGTCACAACTTTCCCAGATTCATACAAGCCCCACCCATTACCCCCACCCCCAGTCCTCCACCTGTTCCCCTGAGACCTAGCTATTGTTCCTCCAGCAATAAAACAACATTCAGCATGTTGCTTCATCAATATTGTCTTGCTGAGCTCCCTGATTGGTCAAAATGGTGAGAAACTTCAGCCAGGCCAGAACCCACATATTCATATGGAGATGTGAGATTATAAATAGTGAGATGAAGATGATAGAGAGATGAGATTTCTACAGCACAGATATCCAGGCATGGCACCTACAATCACTGCAGCAATGAGCAATTCTCAGAAGCATTCAACTCTGAATCACAAGGTAAATTGCCCACCAATACCTAAACATATCTTTACAAATTGTCTCATATAATGCTTAAGTTACACTCTCGATAAAGTTTATTTACTATTTTCTTTCCTCTTTTTGCAGATCAGAAAGCCTCTGGTGTAGAAGTTACGCAGAGAGCGAATTAACAGCAGCATTGAGCAGCTCAAGTCTTTCCTGGGTCCAGAGTTCCTCAAACAGCAGACCGCTTGCTTCCTGAGACAACTGCAGCAGCAGCGTCAAGCTGTGGCATCAGCAGCTGTTGATAAGGGCTACTCCAGATGTGTCCAAGAGGTGGCACATGTTCTGTCCAAAGAGGAGGCGAACACTCTGTCTCAGAGAAGACTGCTGAACCACATCAACAAACTGCAAAACTCCTCTGACAACCTCAGAGAGGCTCATATCTCTCGTCTGAGCTACACAGTCCAGACCACCATGACCAAAGATAAGACTCGAGCCAACAGCTCCCTCTGGAGGCCGTGGTAGACACCAACTGACAGAAGATGTTAACAATGTGACCATGTTGGTTAAATATAAATAAGATTTTCAATGTTAAATGAGAAATCTGTGTCATATTTTTAGCACAAAGTTCTGTTGCACTGATAGTTTCTTTCTTTTTTAGAAACACAATATTGTTTTCTATGATAACATACTTTCTCTCATTGATGCATGATATGATAACTACCATAAAAACTGACCAAGCTTGGTTAGGAATGATCATACTTAACTTATATTCCTGTTGACAGGAGTTGTGAATTTTCTACCTACTTTTTTGTTTTAATATCACCCTTTCTGATGCACTTTTATGCATTGCTTTCTTATCCGGAAGATTTGTTGACCCATATTGGGTACTGGAATTATGTGTTCTATTATTAACATATTTTGCAGTGCAAAAAGCATAAATGTGTGCATAACTCAAAATGTATTTTCTCTGATTGAGATTTGGGTCACTTTCTTTAGTTTATATTAAATTACCCTGCTGTGCCTTTTTTTAAACATACTGGAGCTGTTCATTCTACTCTGATTAAGGGCATTGACTAGAAATACAAGTTTTAGCTGCCATGCATCATCACCACTCATGCCTCAGTGAAAGTACGTAAACATGATGTGACCTCTTTATTCTTCACCATCAAAAATAAATAAATAAATAACTGAATATTGAGTTGTGTCACCTCATCCCTTCTACTGACAAAAGATCAGTGTTGGTCAAGCTTTTAGTGGAGCAGAGTTGTCATTGTTTACTGGAGCATTGTTGAGATACATGAACCACATCTTTCAGTAAGGACACTTTCTGTTATGGCTGCCAAATATCTTGTAGCTGCTGCTGAAACACACAGAAATCGATTCATTTCTTAAAACATATGATGACTTGTAAAATAAAACTGACAATTTGATCATTCCCATCTGTTGTTGTGCCTTTATTAGTCTTAAGGTTGGCAAGCTCCTCTTATTTCACAGTCTAGGATCACACTTCAAACATGTGGCCCTTGAGCCAGAGCAGGCCATTTAAATGGTTGAATAAAGCCCTGAGAATGGCTTTTCAAAGCTGATAAATGCAGAGCAGAAGGTTTTCATGTTTAGACTACATGCTGCATTTGTAACAGGACTCTATTACTGAAAAACTGCAACATGACAGTTCTGACTAAACTCCCAATTCTGTCCAAGCTAGAAGTCAAGCTAATCATCAGTTTGACAGATTTCTGACTTCTTAAGGAGTTAACTCAACATGTTTTTTTTTCATTTACTAAAGTAGTGTTGATTTTTAATGACAGTGGACTGGATGTGAAAAAAAGAAAGCTCATTAGTTCTTGTACTTTGTAACATATACATTAGTACAAGTTATGCATCATATACGAGTGGGAGTGCATGTATTTGAGCCTGTATGTCTACTTTCGATCGTGCGCGGACAGGGACAATTACATT